AGTAAACAGTAGTTGCTAAGGATGCTACAATACAGTTCAGAATATAAGACATACATTCATTCAATTAACAGTATCAGTTCAGAAAGCAGTACAGTTCAATTGTTCAGAAGATAATCATTTTGAACATATCTTTACACAGTTGTTACTCACAGAGTTCTGGGTTACAGTAAAGCTAGAGCGCGTCCCCAGTCGCCAACCCTACACAGTTTACAGATTGAACACACACTAAGCTACAAAGTTTGGAAAGATAATAGCTTAAACCCTAATTTGCCTCGGTGTGTTCTACATCTATATCCTCATTAAGATGTCTTAAACTAGGCCTAATAATGTCTATGATGAAATGAGAATGCAAATATGCACTTTAAAAGCATTTTCAGAATTTTCAGAAAACAGGGGTCACGCTCGAGCGTATGTTACTCCGCTGGAGCGTAAACTTACCCGCTCGAGCATTCTGAAAAACAGTCAAAAGTGCTGGATAGGTGAAAATCACGCTCGATTGGGCGCTCGACACCCGTTCGAGCATGAGACACAATGTCCCGCTCGAGAGTCAATTATTCCGCTCGAGCGGACTTCAAAACAGTGCAAAGTACTGGGAGCACGAATTACACGCTCGGGCGCCAGTCACCCCGCTCGAGCGTGAGTTCAAAATCTAGAATTTTCAGATTTGCACTTCAAGCTCAAAACCAAGTTCAAACGCATCAAAACCAATCCTCTTGGGCTAATTTTCCAGAAAACTCCTCAAAACTCATAGTTTAACATGATTCAAAGCTCAATTTGTAAAATCAAAGCCCAAGGGAAGATCAATTAAACACAATTTCAAACCATCTTTCAAGAACATAATCCAAGCATGACATGCATGAGTTTAGCTAGCTTCTAAGCTTCCAAAACATGCTCCAATGAGCCAATTCTTTTCAAAACAAGATGAAATCATGGACTTAACATATTATGAGCATGCATGTAACATTTTGCCATGAAAACAACTCAAAACTCAACAATCCAAACATGCATGCATGAATCAACTTAAAGACACAATCAAGAGGATGAAATTCATACCTAGGTTCCTTAATTACTAGTCTTGAGGTTCAATCTAGCAAGAACTCCTTTCAATCCCTCCAATCTCCAAGCAATTCTAGATGAAATCACCCAATCTCCCTATTTTCACTCTCTAGTCGGCAATAACAAGGGAAATGAGCTGAGCAATTGTTTGATGAGGCTCAAAGGTGGTCTTAGATAGTGGCCACTTACAATGGCAAAATAGTAATTAAGTCAACAATGCAATTTAACCTATTTTAATCTAATTTAATCATACCAAAACAGTTTTCAAATAAACATACCATAAAATCCTATAAATTCTAACGAACACAGAACATTAATCAGTTTCAGATTCGGCCGCCGATAAGGCCTTCAATTCGCAATTTAAACACAATTTGTTACTAGAATTTTTTTTTAGAACTTTTATACTAATAATGTCCACGGGAAAACTCTTTTCACACTACATTTATAAACAAAAATGAATTGTACGAGTATACATTCGTTGAGCAGGTCTGAACAACTGTTTTTGGTGGTGGTTTGTTGCTCTTTCAATCAAATCCAAATTGTCCAGAATCTGGTTCATAAATTTAGCGATGCGGTTGCCATATTATTTTGGACGGTGGTATTACATGCACCATTTAGTGTACTAACACTGGTTATGTCATTATTATGAATCTCACTCATTATACAAATATTAAAAATATCTTAAAGTATGTCACATCATTAATTAGTACACTAGTTATTATACTAATTAATGTATATAGTATTATGAGCATATTTCGGATGGGCTTTATCAACCAAAAATTTAAAAAAAAAAAAATTATTTGTGAATCTCTTTGGTTGATTTATATGTGAATGCATGACTATTTTTCTTGTAGGGCTGATTTATATGGAATGCATGATTTATATGGTATTGATTTTAGTAGGTTATGTAAATGGAGTTCACAAATAAGAAAATGTTTCACAAGCAGAACTTCAAGATATTTGCAGTTATAAATCAAAATTATGTTTTTTTCAACTTTAAATAAAAGGTCTACTGAAGGACAACATTCTGTTTTAAATTTTTGAATAAAAAAATTGTTTACATAGCATTCAAATATGTTGGCATTGGTTTCAACAAGTTTAGCTCCTTCAAAGCCTTCCCCTTGGTTAAATTTCAGGCAATGCCTTATCTTAGGACATCGCCCTATAATCAGGATAAGATACAAATCCACTTGATAACCAGGATAAGATGCAACAAAATACTTCGTACAACATTGTAACAACCCAAGTTCTTAAATAAACAAACATTTTGTTTCCTTCAGGATGTTTCCAGGACACACATTGCAATTCCCCCATCACACCAAACCGAAAACCAAACACCAGAATTAATCCCGGAAAACAAACTTATTCTGCACAACATTTGTTTCAAAACACGATAAACCCTATAGAAGCGTGGCTTCTTGTTGAGCTGATGATGCCTGAAGCAGCCCATCCCTAATCTGCTCAGCTATTTCGCGAACAGCTCCAGGTCCATGTGGGATGAAGACGGCCGAGGACTTGGAGGATGCACCAATTTCCTTCATGGTGTCGAAGTACTGTGTGATTAGGACCATGTCCATGACGTCCTTAGCAATAGTCCCCGGCACATTCATTGAGAAGCCAAGCACACTTTCTCTTAGACCGTCCACAATTGCCTATCGCTGCCTAGCAATACCCAATCCTGCCAGATACTTAGACTCGGCATCGCCCTCTGCTCGCTTGATTTGTACAATTTTCTCCGCTTCTGCTTTCTCATTAGCAGCTACCCTCAACCTCGCAGCTGCCAAATTTCAATTTTTTTAGTGACATCAAAAGATCCATTGTTTTTTTTTTTTTTTTTTTGGTTTTTTTCATTTTTAGTGAACTTTTTTTTAAAAAAAAAAATTCTCAAAAAGTTTTAGGTTTTTAGGTGGAACTGGAAATTTTTAAAAAAAATTCAAAAAAATTCCATAAAAGACAAAAATAAAATAAGCAATATTTTTTTTATTTTTTTTTGTCTTTAGTAATTTTGTTTCGGATTTTTTTTTTAAAAAATATACTTTTTAGATTCGTTTCAATAAAACGGACCGAAAAAGTAAAAAAATTTAACATAATTTAAAAAAAAATATCGAAGACAAAAAAATTCGAAAAAAGAGTTTTTTTTTTTTTTTGGTTGCCAAAATAGGCCTTAAAATACAAATTTCCCTATGTAGTTACAAATACCTTATTTTAAGATATTTTTTTATAATAGAATTAACTAGAAAAATAAAATTTCTAACTGCTCTCCTATACAATAATAAAATTACTTGAATTATTAATTGAAATATATTTATAAAATCATTAAAAACTATTAATTGATTTGATGAATTATAACTAAAATGGGTCATTTGTTATGAAATTATAAACTTTAAGGGGCGAGATGTAATTTCTAAAATCACAGAGGATAATTTGTATTTTAATCAAAACTCAGGAGGTGTATTTGTAATTTATCCCAAAAAAAGGAGAATAATCTATTTTAAAAAACAAATATTTATTGTTTATTTTTTAAGCAAATGTGATAAATTGAATATGTTACAATTATCAAATTGATTTAATTTTTTTTTCAGTAAATTATAAATACGTCCCACAAGATTTGTTTAAAACACAAATTGTCTCATGTGATTCTAAAAATTGCGTCCATCTGATTCAAGTTTATAATCACATAATAAATTATCTATTTTATTAAAAAATTATCAAGTCAATTAATAATTTTTAATAATGTTAGAAATATATTAAAAATTTTGATAATTTTATTATGTTATTGAAATTATAATTTATTTTTTTGTTAATTCTGCTAAATAAAAAATCTGACAAATGGTGTTGTATTTTTCAAATCATAAAAAATAATTTATATTTTAAATAAATTTCAAAATTCTATTTATAATTTACCTATTTTATTAAATATATATATATATATTATAAAATAAACAATTTAAATTAGAATTAATTACCTAAAAGTCTTATTTACAAATGTTATGGTAACTCAGGTCCTATTTAAGATTTTTTGAACTAATAAGTCCTATTTAGTAAAATTGAGAATATTATTAGTTTTTCTTTTCAATTTTAAAAATTAAGAACATTATCAATTTTGCATAATAATGTGCAGATAATTGTTTTACTAACTGATGAAACAAAACAGAGTATGAGATTAAACGTTTTTACCCTTTTACTTATTTGTTATCCAATAAAACAGAGAATGTTGTAAGTTTTCTTCAGTTTTAAAATTGAGAACATTATCAGTTTTTTTTTTGTTTTTTTTTCCAGTTCTGCACATCAATGTTCCATCATCATACTTCTTTATAGACACAAAATTTTTAGTTTTGTACAAAAAATAATTTAATTTTTTCAAAAAAAATTATTTTTTTTGTACATAATTTTTTTTAATTTTTTTTAATTTGAAAATTAATATTTTAAAGTTTTAAAAATTAAAATAAATGCCAAACTATCATGTTATGTACAATTAATTATAATGATAAATAATTATTACTTAAAAGATAATTTTGACTATTAAAAATTTAATAATTCTTAAAAATCTAAAAAAATCTTAGGTCTTATTTGTCATAACTTAAAAAAATCAAAAAGTCATTATTCTATTTAAATCACATCTTATTTAACCTCTTTACCACATCACTTAAAATCCAACTCAACTCAATGCATAGCCAATTCATATTTTATAAAAAATTAAAAAATACATTTATCAATCTCAAATCACTCCTCAATTAAAATTTAATAAAATATAAATTTATAAATTAAAACTGGCTGTCTTCTATATTATGGAAACGATTCGTACTCAACCACGCAATATTAAACAAGAAAAATTCGAAAATATACGTTTGCAGTCGCCACGTGTTAAGTCATGACAGGTCATACTTTAAACGGGTCCCACCAGAAGAAGATACAGATAAAAATCAGGTCCATCTATTTTTATCCATTGTTCTAGTTTCTTCCCAAATCTCATCGTCTCTCAAATCTCGACCGTGAACCCAATATTGCAGTTGGTTTGTTGCCGCCATATTCGTTCGTTGCTACCAAATACGAAAACAAAAAACAAAACCCCCAATTTTTTTCTCCTTCTTCTTTCAATTGGATCTCAGTCGAAGACCATACGTATATATTTTGTGTTCTCTGTGAATTTTCCAGATCTATGCACCTATTGAAGCTTTCTTCGAAGGCTGTTGGTGCTTTATAATTTTTCGATTTCGAATAACTGTTCGTGTTTTGTTCAGATTCGTCTTTGAATATTCAGGAAAAGGTAGGTTAAATAAAGTCCCGAATCTTCTCTCCAGCATCTCGAATTGAATCGGGGTTTATGCGGTTCTTGATTTGTTTGGATACGTTGTTTTTTGGTCTAATAATCGTTGATTTAGGGTTCGAATTCTAATCCAATTACGATTGGGGCGATTTCAATCATTATTGGATTAGGGTTTTTGCTTCTTTGAATGATTTGGTGGAGTTGAGAACTGGTGTGTTTGGATGGGAGAAGGTGAAATTTGTGTTGAATTATTGAACGATGAAACAATGAAAGATGAGACTTCCCCGAGAGTTGAATCGAAGCGCGACCATGAATTGATAGGGGACGATGCCGAGGCAGTGCCTTGCGCTAAGAAGCAGGCGAAGGAAGCTTTAAATGATACTGGATTGGAGTCTTGTGTTGAGAAACAGGTTAAAGAAACTTCAAATGATGAGATACGCTCAGAAGTTTCAAACCCAAATTTGTCTCCAACAGATAATGCTTGTAGCTTTCAGACTATTAGTAGTCAACCTGCGGAGTTGCTGAGCAATAATCAAGTGGGCTCGGGCGAAATCTCGTCTGCTTGTTCTGGGAATTCAAGTACCGAAGAGAGCGGAGAGGAGCAGATTAAAAATGATACATCTGGACCAGTTTCTACGTCCGATTTCGTGCTTGAGATACCGAAACATGTTAGCTCCACCGGTATCAGGAAAATTACCTTCAAATTTAGCAAGCGCAAGGAAGATTATGATGAGTTATCTCCTTCAGCTGTGCCACCTGTGACTAATGTTGTTTGTGATGGCTTTTATAATCCTAATATGGAATTGAGTTTGTCCAAGAAGGTTTTTTCGGATAGCTACCCTACAAATGTTAAAAAGCTTTTATCAACTGGGATTTTAGAAGGAGCTCGAGTGAAGTATATTTCTACCTCACGGGAGGTATGCTCTTGTTCGAATGATCATTTCTTGAATTTTTACTTGGTGTTTTGAATATGTGGAACTCTTACCCTGTTTCATATGATTGTCAGAGAGAGCTTTCTGGAATCGTAAAAGGCTCTGGATATTTGTGTGGATGTTCATTGTGCAATTTCTCTGAAGTACGTCAATTGTTTCTTTCTCAAATTGTTCTCATCGTTTGGATTTTTTTGCAATTTGCTTTGCTTACTATATAATTGAATGATATAAGCAGATTCTCAGTGCCTATGAGTTTGAGCTGCATGCTGGTGGCAAAACCAGACACCCAAATAATCACATATACTTGGAGAATGGGAAGCCAATTTATAGTATAATTCAAGAACTTAAAACTACACCACTCAGTGTAGTAGATGAAGTGGTAAAGAACATTGCCGGGTCATCTGTCAATGAGGAGTCTTTTCAGGTTTGGAAAGGTGATGCTGATGCCAATAATTTCACATACTTCCAGTGCTTTATACGTATTGGAAGGGAGTGTAATTGGCATTTAAGTTGTTTGTTTTGCAGATGCTCCACTTTGGCCATTGTATAGATTTTGATATTCACTTTTATCTGCAGCAAGTCTCCAACAAAGCAGTGATATCGTTAAAGCAGAAAAGAAACATCACTTCAAGGCTGCTGCCATGCATTATTCTACAGTAAGGTAAAGAAAATAATTTTGTTTCTCTTTTTTAGGACTACCTCATTTAAATATTTTATATTTGGCACTTAATGTCTAATCCCCTTAAAATATTTATTGTTTAGTTTTTCAAAAAAGGAAGTGTTTGAATTATGGAGGGAGAGAAACTGCTGGTCTTCATTTAAGATTGTGCCTTTTTGGCTGGCTGGGTTCTTTTCAGATTCTTCGAATACTTGTTTAAAACTGTTAATATGTATAAAGTGCTGTTCCGGGATTTTAATGTTTCTTTATGTATAGAATGGAACTTTTAATTTTGGTATCACCTCATTCATGTGCTGTTTGGCTCTGAACTTTTAAACCCCCTCCCCAATTTTTGGTGTCCAGTCTTTCCAAAAATGAAAGTATTGTTGGCCATTACACTCAAGGCAGAGAAGAGATGCTTGTGTTTGGTAGTGCTGGTTATAATTTAAGATTGGGCCTTTTATTATGTTGTTGAGGTTCTTTTCAGATTCTTTAAATACTAGTTTAAACCATTAATAACATTTCATCTGTTCTGCATTTCTCAAGTCGATTTGCTTATAAAACTTGTTTGGTGGGAATCAAATAAAAACAAGATAGTGAACTTGAATATGTGTGTGTCATCATATACTGGTAGTCTGTTCGTGCACCATGTCTATGTCAGCATATTTTGTAAGTATGAAGATGTCCTGGGTCCTTTTTGACACCATGTTGCTGATTCTTGCTATATAACTTTGGGGATCAGATATAAATCTATCTAAGGCTGAGCATTTGAAGTTAAGTATTTTGTGGACAATTCTACAAAGTTTTCTCAGTGGTGCTTTGCGATGTGATATGGGAGTAATTCTATAAGGATCCGCTGTCATTCACTAAATGCCTTGTCACTGACATCATGTTTTTACATGAGAATGCTTGTAGCATAGAAAACAAAGATTGAAAGTTTCTTTAGAAATCATACTCATTGACAGGAAACTGACCCCTGAATGAAACAAGCGTTTGTTTTCAACTTGTCTAGCTTTTGAGATGTAGGACATATTAGGAAACTAGGGCTGCCTACAGTAGGAATTATGTTGAGTTTTGGTTATGGGAAGTTTCTAGGGTTATTAGGTTTCTAAAAAGGGGAAGAAAGAATTTGTGTTGAAAGAAATAGTGCTGAAATTTTGCTTGATTTCTGAAATGGCAGCTTGCTGGATTTCTAGAATTAGTTGCCGGTATTTCCCAAACAGCCACTGTTATGAGGATTTTAGGTGTTATTAAGGCCTGAAGGTATAGGAATTGGTTAGGAACTTAGGGTTGATTGGGGATCGACAGGTATGGTTTTGGTCCTTAAAAACAGACTTTTTAGGGTTTGGAAACTAAGCCAAGAGTAGTACTTGGGTAATTTGCAGAAGAAGAAGAAGGAAAGATGCATTTCACCTTTCCAAGGGTTATGTGAATCCATAGAAACAGAACCTAAAATGTTTATAACTCCATAGAGCAAAAGAATTATATGGATGATATATTTATAGGCTTCTGGCTCTCCCAATTTTACTAGGCTTCCAGTTTTTTGTTATTTTTTGTTGGACATGTTACATGCACATTTTGGCTTGTCCATAGATTGAACATAGTGGAGGTTAGTTTATAATTTGGCAATGTTTTTAGTGAGGGGTCAAAACATAAAATGGAGAACTTTCTGCCTTCGAGAATAAAATTTAACCTTTGGCCCATTTGTCTTCTTTGAGAGAGAGTTTGGACGTAAAGAAGAGGAAGAAAAAATTTGGTGCTAACAGACATGTATACTGTGTAACTCAAACTTGCGATGCTGCCTTGTGTAAACTATTCAACTTCCTTATGAGTAATGGGTTATCTTGTTTTGAATATGTTTATGCTTGTTGTGATAAAGTAACAATAACTCAAGTGACTAAGGACTGTATTGTTTGAAAACTTCATTTTTAAACAATTTGAAAATTTCTGTCCTTGATCTTAATTACTCAGTTTGGTCCAAGTGGATTGAAAGTTGGTCTAGAATAGAGAAAGCTTGCAAATTGCATGGCATGCACATAGTACCAATATAAAGGAAGTGATAATTCTTATTTAGTTGTAAGGGATCAGCCCTTCACCTTTGGTATTAGCTTACAATTTAAGTTTTTAAATTATAAACAGTTAGTATGATTCTCATCTTGCACTATCACATTTTATGAATTATTAAAAATTGTTTCACAACTCAGAAGCTTATGAAATTTTTATATGTTTCCCATACAAGTCTATTATATTGGTTAAAATTTTCAAAGTGAAAGGATGAGTATTTAATCTTGAAAAAATTCCCGGACTGATCGGTATTTAGTAAATTATCATAGCAGAATTTTGTGTTCTACAATTTCAATTTTTTGTGTTGGTTTTGGGTGTTAAGACCATGACTTGAGATAAAGTTTGTTGGGTTTAGTTTGATGTATATTTGGGCCATGTTTGGCTCATTGGTGGGAATTTAATTCAAGGCCCGTGACTTGAAATCATTGTGATTTATGTGTAACCCATGCTTAACTGTTTGCTCTTTTTTAATTATGTGAATGGTAGAGACCACTTTGAGAGGTGATTTGTTGTGTATTTGAATGACGAATTTATGGTGTGTACCATAACGTGAAAATGATACTCCCTCTATCCCATTTTGTTAGTCCTTTATGAAAATTTTAACTTTTTAAGGAGACATGCAATCATTACACTTAAATTCAGATTTTAAAGCATTAATTTCCAAAATACCCTTCTATTCTCATTGTAAAATATATTTATAATTATTTACAAAGGGCAATTTTGGAAAAATTTAAATTTAAAGTTTTGACTTTTCAAAGTGGACCTACATTTTGGGACAACAAAAAATAGAATAATAGACAAATAAAATGGAACGAAGGGAGTATATTGAAGAAAAATTATATCATTTTATAATTTATATTACCAAATTTTGAAAACACACACACACACACACACATCACTATATATAGATGTATATATATTTGATTAATTGGTGAGTTGGATGGAACAAGAAAACAAAAAAATTAATTAAAGAAAAGGAGAATCAACCCACGTGGGGCTACCCCCCCACCCCCCCTTTCCTTCCCCCATTTCCTTTCTTCTTGTCTTTCCTTCTTTTCTTGTTGTCAACAGAGAGTGGGGGAGAGAGATAGAGCTCTCTCTCTCTCTCTCTAGTGTGGTTTGTAACTATTTTGCTCAATCGGAGTGTCTTAGAGTTTGAGTTTGCAAATTTACTGAGAAGGAAAGTTGTAGATCACGTCGAGAGCTACGCGACTACCATCTCCGATTTTTGATTCGTCAAATATGAGATTTTAGGGTTTCTTCATCATCACTATTTAAGGTAGGATTTTTATTTTTATTTATTTATTTTTTCCATTTTATTGCTTTAAAATCCATTTTAGGGTTTTTTTTTTTTGGAGGAAAAATGGCATGATAGGAGTTGTATTGAATGTATGTTTCTCGGGTTTATGATTGGATATTATGTTTGAGAAAAATCATGTTGAATGTTATTCCATCTTTGATCTTGCAATTTATTTGAGAAAATCAATTTATGTTAATGAACACATGTCTAAACTATCAAGTTGAAATTAGGGTGTGTTTTGGGATTAAAAATTCTAAAGGTGTTATGTTCATGACATTTAATGAATATTGGTATGTATATTGTTATACTTTGTTCATTTTTGTGAAAATAGAAAATACAATATTTGAGATTTTGAACTTCAAACCTTAAAAAGTGTACTCTTTGATATATTTTATGATTTTTGATGTAAACATCATGTTGATTAGTTTACTTTTGAAAAGTTGTGAAAATTGCCAAGTTTAGAAAATTTGGGGAAAATTTAATTATTTGAGTAGTTTGACATTAAATGTGATTAGGTTTGAAGGATGTGAAATTCTAGATTACATTGGATATTTTTCTTAGAATTTTTAGATATGACAAGCTTATTAATTTGTGTATTCATTTAGTTTTGCTGTTATCTTAGATCCTATGTGATTAAAATTATGTTATTGGGATTGTACCATGACTTTTAATATAGTAGGAATAAAATGATAAGATTTGACAAGTATGAGATTTGGAAAAAATCATTATGGTTAGTTTGTTTGGCATGGAACAAAGTTTGATTTAAAAGAATTGTTCTAGTCGAAGTGGTTGAATATTTGATTACTAGTTTTACTAGTTGACGGATTTTAATGTGTTATTTTCATACCTTAAATTCATACATGAGATATCTGAATTGTTTGGTGACTTTTGATGAGAAAATGAAAAACGATGATTTTAGCTCGTTTGGGTAAATGGACGATTTGGATTAAACTGAAAATAATGATTGACTTTGTCTCTTTGGATTAACTGGATGGGATTAATATTAATAAAATGTTAAAAAAATACTTGTATATTTTATAATTATAGTCAATAAAGGATTTGGATATAATTGTCTAAGTACTGGGAACTATATGAAAAATTGCTTTAACTATGTAGTAACCAGGTGTGTGTTTACTATTGATTTTCGGATTTTGTGCCGGTATTTTACAAACATGGCCCGGGTGATAGGCTTGTAGCTGGTATTATTGATCTAGGTTGTGGAAGATAGTGGTACTAACTATCTGCGGTATAGACTTCCAGACACTGCAGTTGAGAGGAATAGTAACCTCTATGGTTGTAGATGGAGTTATTTTTTCTGACACAGCTTGGAGTGAGCCTGGAGTGTGATCATGGTAGGACCTATTATTGATTTTATGGTTTGGATATAATATTGGTGATGAGAACAAATCCGGATCAATCTTACTCTCACATAGTAATTAAAAAAGCTAGAGAGGTGGGAGCCCAGTGCCTGAGCCGTCAGTGAGAATTCAAACCATGTTGATTCATTTTATAGTGAAATTACTAGAAGCCAATTCTTAAGCCACTACACAAAATCAAAGCGAGATGGTAAGCGCTTGATCCTACAATTGGTATCAAAGCGAGGTCTCAAGTTCGATTCCCTTGGAGGGCATGCTGCTGTAGGCAGGTGCCGAGTGGAGGGGGGATTGTTAGCCTTGGTTGGGGCCAACATTCTATCGTGGCGAAGGTTTGAGGTGAGGCCGAGTCACAATCGACTTGTGGAGCTTAGCGTTGTACCCTTTAAAGAAATAAAATTGCGCCTTCACCACTGCCTATGGGTTTTGGTGAGATGGTAAGCGCTTGATCCTACAACAGGTATCAAAGCCAACGACTAGCGATCTATTGGTGGGCTTTCCTTAACATCGATATTGTTGGCCTTGGGTTTGCATGCAGACTGTCAACGAAGCAAGTAAAATCCATGACGACTCTTGATGGAGCGAAGAAAATTCCTGGTGCACGTGGCAAGGTTGGACTGCGATGAGGTGGCTCTCAATGGAGTATGGTGGCTCACGATAGAATGTGTGTGGGTGGCCCAAACTGGACTCGATGTTGGAGAGTTATAGATCAAGATTAAAGGGGAGTGTGTATGATCTATGATGAACCTACTGATAATGAATCAAACTCAAGGGGGAGCAAGGTGAGACTCGATGTTTGGTTCACACATGAAGGGAAAATTGTTAGAGCATGTGTGAAGGTAGAGTTCCACATCGGATAAAGAGTAAAAGAGATAGCTCTTAATATATATTAGATGGGCTCTTCACTTGTAGGCTTAAGCTTTTAGGTGGGTTTGAGTTCCAAACAATGTATGTTGGGCCGGTGTTGCTGTGTGCTTGGCGGTTACTATGTTTTGAGTTTTATTCATTTATTTAAGTTAACTAGAGTGAGTTAATTAAATAAAATGAGATTTATGCTCTGTTGGGAGTCATCGTATCTGGTTTATTTATTTAAGTTAATTGGTGTGAGTAATTAAATAAAATGAGATTTAGACCAGGTTGAAAGGTTTATTTATTTACATTAACTAGTATGAGTTAATTAAATAAAAATAGAATTGATGTCCTGTTGATAATCATTGCAATTTGTTTATTCATTTAAGTTAACTGGCATGAGTCACTTAAATGAAATGGAATTGATGCTTTATTACAGTGACTGTAGTTTGTTTAATTATTTAATTGAATGAGGATGGGTTAATTAAATAAGTTGGAATGGATACCCGGTTGGCAGTCTTGCGATATTTCGATTTAATTATTTATTTAAGTTGACTGTTGAGGTTAATTAAATAAATCAGACTTAAGGGATTAGGTAATTAAATAAGAAAAACTTGGCATGGCATTATATTATGTATATAGTATCACTGTACCTACATGTCTTTTAAAGTAATGTTATGAAATTATTTGGTGAGCACATTTGGCTTCGGCCTTATTTGTTTTCTTTGACTGAACATCTTTCTTTTGTAAAAGAGCAGCCCCCTCATTATTACTGTAAGCCCATGGGGTGTTTTGTTTGTAAAAAAAACATGTTATATTGAATGCAATACACAGAGAGCGGGTTTGTGGTTTCTATCATTGGTATTATCATTTTTTTCTTCAGTTATACGATCTCTTGAAATAAAGGCTTCGTGTGAACTTTAGGAAAGTAAAGAAAATTGTTAAGGAAAAGGACTTTCTGGTAATTTAATGAATAAGAATGAGATTTCTTACCAAACCTCACGCTTAGGTTAATTAGTTTCCGCCTAATTAATCTTAGAAAATTGGGGCGTGACAGTTTGCTTCGCCTTTTGCTGTCCAAGGATGAGCTTCTTTGGATTTTCTTATCCCCAATATAGCGGATTAAATGGGGCGATAACTAATACTACCCCAAACGGCTGGTTTAGCCCTTCTGGATTATTTCCCTCCTTCATCCAATGGTTAGAATAATCTTATCTCTTTATCCCGCCCTAACCAAACATATTACAACTAATTCTATATACATATATAATCTCATCCATTATCCCATGGTATTACTTATCTCCCCAATCCCGACCACAATCTCATGGTATTCAATTATCCCCTTCCAAATTATTCTGGCAATCAAACAAGGCTTTAGAGAATATGGTTTGTGGGGGAACTATTAGAGGCCATTAAAGACTATGCTTCATAAAATCATACAGAACCCTTCTGCTTGATGAATCGCTCAACTCTTAAGCCATTAATTTGTAGATTATCATTTCAAAGCTAACAGCATCACTAAACTAAATCGTTTAATTGCAGTGGTCAATTGATAGAAGACAGCCTTAGCCCTACTTCATGTTCCTACGTTCAGAATATCACTTTTAAACAGCAAACCTGCATAATGGTGACACCAGCAGGGCGGAAACGGGTGGCTAAAAAGTTGGTTCTCTTTCAATTTGTTTTTCTTTATTTCTTCTTTGTTTTAACCTATGTTAGTAGAAAACGCTAATACCTCAGCGAATAACGTATTGGTACACACGTTCCAAACCATGGTACACCTCCGTTTCAAAATGATAAATTTAGTGATCCGAAGCGATCCCATAAATTTAACTAATATATTTCCTTAAATGTTACGTTAGGAGGAAAAAAATAAAACATAATGAACTATAATATAAGGTGAGTTAAGTTTTGACAAGACAAAAACATAAAAAAATGAGTCATAATGCTCATACAAATGTTTTGTTATATGAAAAAAATAATAATAATAAAAAAAAACTATACTTCTTGGATGCCTAATAATTAAATGAAAAGTACTCTAAAGTAACTTAAATTCTTAAGCGTGATATATACAAGTCTACCCCTATCGTACTACATTTTTGAGCATGTGGCATACCATGTTCTCATTCCCGTTCCACGTACCGGAACGATCCATGCTCTAGGTAACGTAGGTTTTAACAACTTCATATTTTGAAGCACTCAAGATTGTTCATCATTGAATTGAGTATTGAAAAACAAAATGCATCATTCTCTCTTTATCAGTGATTTCAAAATGTCTTGTGCAGGCCAAGCATGCAACAGAAAAAAACTGCTGAAGGTCGCACTAAGAAGAGGTAGATTTTCTCTCGCTGTTCTCCTTTCCCCCCAATCAACTGTATATATTTTCTTGGTAGCTTCTGCTTATAATTATTTGATTTTTTGGGGCTCACCTTGAAGTCTTATTGAAATCTTCACACATTGATGGTAGGGATAATGATCTGCATCGATTACTTTTCAAGCCTAATGGACTACCAGATGGGGATGAATTGGCTTACTATTCAAAAGGACAGGTTGTCTTTACAATATGTTTTCTTTTGGTGATACGTTTCTATTTTGTTGGATAGTTTCATTTATTTTATTATTATTATTTTTAAATATACTTTCTTTTTCATTGCAGAGAATACTTGGGGGCTACAAACAAGGAAATGGAATTGTCTGTAGTTGTTGTGACACTGAGGTAAAATTGTTGGCCTGATGCCTACATACCACTTAAGTTCTAGGATCCCTTCCTTCATGTGTGTCACATTTATGAGATTAATTTATTTGTGCGCAGATTAGTCCTTCACAGTTTGAAGCTCATGCTGGATGGTCTGCTAGACGTCAACCGTGAGTAGACTCTAAAAACTTGTCATTGGATTGGTCTTTGTTATTATAATATGATGAGTTAACATTTTTCTGTTGTTTATTTCCAGATATCGGAACATCTATACTTCTAGTGGATTGACACTTCATGATATAGCCTTGTCATTGGCAAATGGACAAAATCTGGCCACTGGCAGCAGTGATGATATGTGTACTGTATGTGGAGATAGAGGGGATCTGATTATTTGTGATGGATGCCCTCGGGCTTTTCATGGAGGTAGATATACTTTGTACTGTTATGGTTGATGCTTTATTTATTTATTTATTTTTTACATTCCGTACTTTGTGGTTTCATCTTTATATTGCACCACAGGGATATTAATTTGTTTATAAGTTGAAGTTATTAGAATTTTATTGCACCATTGTAGTGATTATACACCAAAACTAGAATAAAAAATAACCTTATTTTGTTTTTATTGAAACGATCAAAAGTGAAACATTGCACATAGAGCATGTAACAGTTTGGTTGTGTGACCCTATAGTTGAGCCGGTGACCTGGCTGTTGATTAGTTTTACACGTCAGTGTCGGTGTCATAGCTTTTCTTAGAAGGTTCATTTGGTTGCAAGACCCTATGGTCCCTATAGTTGAACAAATGAGTTGTTTTTTGATTGGTTATGCTTAGATGTGGGTCTGATAACTATTCTTTGAAGAGCACTGCTGGCTGTAATTTATCCTTTATTTTTAGTAGTCAATTAATGATTGGCAAGCTGGTTAGATCAATTTATTGTTTTCATATTACCCGACCTGAAAGAGGTAAATAGCAAATGCTATGCTTAAAATTTATGTTTATAAATTGTTATAGTTGTGTATCCAACTTATGGGTAATGTTTTATCTGATATAAGTTTTTGTTTCTGGCCTATAGTGATATAAAATGTTTCTCTTATTAAGGTGTAACTCTTCTTTTTCTTTTTTCTTTTTTGGGTCCCATTGTGGCTTTTTGCAGTTTGTTTGGATCTACAATGTGCCCCTAAAGGCGATTGGCACTGTCCTTATTGTACAGATCAATGTGGTTCGGGTAAAAAATGTGCAGGGGAGTCCTCAAACATGGGAAAATCTATTATAATTCGTTTGAGACGAGTTGTTAAAGCACCAGAAACTGAAATATGTGGTGGTTGTGCTATTTGCAGGTTGGTTGCTATAAATGTAGCCATTCAATTGAATGCTGGTTAATTTTTTCTTCTTGTAATCTATGAAAATGATTACATTTTCTTTAATTTATTTTGTATAGTGCTATTATCTACGGGTGCAACTTGGGCTGGTTTGATCAGGTGAGAGGTTCCCCAAGTCGAGTCTGAGTTGTGCTAAAAGTTGCCCAAGCCCGACTTGCAATCCGAACTTGTTTGCCCAAGTCCAACCTGAGCATAATAAATTGAACTTGGGATGGGTCTGAATGAACTACCCACAAATTTGAGTTTTTTTTTTTTTTGGCAGCTAGGCTGATTAATTTGTTAAAGTTAGACCGTATTAACATTTTTTTGGGGGTAAAGTCATTAATAACATCAAAACAGATAATTTATATGATGAGAGAGAGACAGAGAGGGGATGGATGAGAATTGAAGAACTGATGTGTCGCTGTCTTTGCCATTTCTGAGTGAGAGATTGAAAGCATAGGGTTTTGTGTTATATGACTTGAATATATGATTTTTTTTTTGGTGGTAAATAAGCTAACTTCATTGAAAAAGCATCAATAAACTTGTATATATGATATATAGTGAGTATGATGTAATGGTCCATAAAATTTTAACATCATTTAATAGCTAATAATTTTTATGTATTTGAAATATATAATTCAGGCATTGGGTTGCCCAGTGTCCAAGCCCTGTCCGAATTTAATTTGGGCTTATGAATTTCTGTCTAAGCTCGCACTGAATTCAAAAATATATTTCCGAAGACCTAAAAAAAATTGGGTTGGACTCGGGTTGAGTCCACCCAAGTTGCACCCCTATTGTTATCCTAAGAAATCTATTTGCAGTTTAATGTGTTTGATGTCCTCCTTTGCGAGGCTTTTTCCCATGGCTTCATTGATTTGTAAATATATACAGATTTACATAATGTAAAGTCTAGTTTATCAAGATTAGTTTTTCGTGTAGGTGATGTCTGCTGGGGATTAATTTCATTTCTGGTCCATTTTATTGTTGTCTGTTCATTTAGACTCACATTCATGGTTTTCAATCAACTCAAAACATGCTTGGATTGGCAAAGGCCAGCAATTACTGTCTTTTTCTCCTTGAATTTTCTTGCATTTTTGTATTCAATTATTTTGTTTTCTGGAGTTTCTTTTCTTGAGCACTGCTGTTACAAAGACTCAACCTTACTGGCTTCAAGGTCACAAGCTTATAAGACCTTGTAGATATTGAATATGATGATGAAGCAATAATGAAGATTTGGACATAATGGAGATGAAGCGCAATAATAGTAGAAGTGAAACAATGAGGTCGAATTAGTTATAATGACTCAAGAGTTATAGTAGTTTAGTAACCACTTAATGGAAAGAGTACGAATGGAGAAGATTTGGTTAATGAGTTCGTTGGAGGAGGAAATGCATAAGCATATGGGTTCATGGAAACAATGGGACTTATTTTGTTAGTGACAAAATTTTGTGCTGTGTATAGCATGAAATATTCTCATTTATTTTGGGGATTTGGAGTTACTCTGCAAGTTTATAGTAAAGGAGCTTCCTAGCCCTCAAAACCTGAGAACGGCCCGTAGAATATAGTGTTGTTTCTTTTCAGTTATTTGAAAATATTGGTTTCTCATCATTGTTGTCAAATTATCATATACTGTAATACTACAATGTTCACTTCTATACGTCTTAGTAACACCGATCTTCTTTGTTACATTTACAGGGCTCATGATTTTAGTGTTACAAAATTTGATGAACGGACTGTTATGATCTGTGACCAAGTAAGGCTTGCATTTTTTTTTTTCTTGCACTTTTTTGTCCATATGCGTTTTCTTTCTTATTGTCTTAATCTAAATGTTTATTCTTGCTTAGTGTGAAAAGGAGTACCATGTTGCTTGCTTGCGGGAAAGTGGGCGTTGCGATTTAAAAGTAAGTTTCTGAATCTTTTTTTGCTTTTGACATTTATATAAAATTATTTATGCAGTGACTTAGTATCTCGTTTCTCACATATCGTGCAGGAACTGCCCAAGGGTAAATGGTTTTGTTGTAATGACTGTGATAGGATCCATGTGGCACTACAGAATTTAGTTTTAGGTGGATCGGAGATGATTCCGGCTTCAGTTTCAAATGCTATAAACATGAAGCATGTAGAGAAAGGACTTGCTGATGGAGCTGCAAATGATGTTCAGTGGCGGATTTCAAGTGGGAAAAGTCGTTATTCAAAACATCTGCGACTACTACCGAGGGCTGCTGCAATTTTTAGAGTGAGTTTTTGCTAATTCCATGTAGAATTTTTCAGCCAGCTATGAGCAACTGTAAAATGTGATTTGAAAGTTGTTAAAATCTGTCTGATTTACTTTCTTATCTTGTCCATCTAGATTTTGGTTGCTTGTCTTCATAAGTTTTTCGTCTAGTACCCTTTTATTTGTATTTATATAATCTCAATTTTTCAATCCATACCAGTTGTTTGACTTGTATGATGCACAGAAATCAAATTTACTAAAAGGAGTGTTTGGAAGAAATGTCCGGCTTTAATGATTTTCAATCATATTTACTTGGATAATGTAGCTGCTTTTTCCTTTTTTCTTAAATTTATTTACGGATGATAGTAAGCTAGGTTGTTGACTAGATGTTTATTTTCAATCTGAGAATAGACAGGGATGGGTCAGAAAGATTTCTGTTTTTCTCATTTACCCGCTTTTTCTGCATGTTGAAACTCTCATTTGTTGTATCCCACTCTTTTTATAATTGGACTGCATATTCAAGCTTTTCTTTTACTTTGGATATACCTCTGTAATTTTTTGTGACAAGTATAGTTTGCATTGATGCAGCTACTAAAAGTGAGCCCTGTCATTCTGTTGACATTGTTTCTGTTCAATGCAAAGCTATTTTGAAATTTAGTCCTTTTCGTTGTCTGCCTAAAGAAATACAAAGTCACCAGTATATGACTTCTTGTTTAACCATAATGAGTGTGATTCTTGGAAAGTTTCATCTTATTTTTAATGCCCCATGCATAGGGTAGTAGATTGACGTGTACGGTTTCACATGGGTAGTCTCCAATTGGTTAAGAAACTGTTTTGCTTCAGGAAAAGGCTAACCATGCTCTAAGGCACATAAAGCTGGGCAAACATATCTATAAAATTAACATGGTGTGAAATGAGATATTGATATGGTCGCATGGCAAGACAAGAGCGTACAAAATCAGACACGAGCACATTCTTGAGATGATGAAAGATGAAAGTAGCCCAGTTTGGGATGTTATTGAAAAGAACTGTGTCAGATGGTTTGATCATCTGCAATTAAAACCAATAACTATACCTGTGAGGAAGTGTGGCACTGTACTATTTGAGGGAAATGCTGAATGGAAGGGGAACAGGGAAGATCAAAGTTAATGTTGGTTTAAGGGAAAACATGGTAGCATGTGATTTTAGTGGGATTTGAACTCAGGACGTCTGGATTTACGAACGCGTCCCAAAAATTCCTCCCCTCACCAACTGAGCTACCCTTCCGGGTTCCCAAACTCTAACCATCAAAACTACAAAATTATTTTTAATTTCATATTTAAAAAATTCTTTTAAAAATTTATCTTTCAAAATTAATTCAAACGTAGCGAACGAGTTTTAATTATCAAGACAAAACTCATTATGTAGGTGTTTGGGAAGTGGGTTTTTTTGTAGCTTTTTTTAGTTGTAGGATATTATTAGAGAAATTTTTTTGTGTTTGGGAAGATAGTTGGGTTTTTTTATGGTTGGATGTGATGTTTGTGAGAGAAAAAGTGAAATGATTATGGGGTATGATATGATATTTTGTTTGGATTTGTTTTTTTTGGTTTTGTAACCAATTTGCCTTTTAGTGGAAAAAAACAAAAAAAAATCCTTCCCAAACACCCCCTTTATCTCAATAAACGTGAAAATATCACAACCACATCCTCAAAATATCACATGTAAGCCAAATGCAGCTGACAATTTTAATTACGAAGACATATCACAACCACATCTTCGAAGTATTACATTTAAATCAAACGCAGCCAACGACTGCTTCATGACCCTTGACATGGTAGAATGATGAAACAGATTCATCTAGCTGACTCCAACTATTTGGGATAGGGTTCATTGGGTGGACATATTTCATGGATGTGAATCATTGGTCTTTGCTTACTGCTGTTTCATATTGCTTCTTCTGGAACAATTTTGTTTATGATGTTCGTATTTGAAGAGGAGTATGATGTTAGAGTAAAAGTTGTGAACTTGATTAATTGACGTGCTAGAAGAAACGGACCACTTTGAGGCATTTAGATAATTTTATTTCTCAGTGCTTTTTCTTAGATGGACTTTTGTCGAAGGATGGTCTGGTTCCAGACTTTTTCTTTTTCTGTCTCTCTTTTGCTTAGACATTTTAATTTGGATGGCAGTTGTATGAAGATATAACTCTTTTGCTATCCTATATTGTCTTTTATTTTATTTTATTTTTTTGGGTTAAACCTAATTACATGTCCCATCTTCGGCAGGAATGTTTTGATCCTATTGTTGCAAAATCTGGTCGGGATCTTATACCTGTCATGGTCTATGGGTAAGGCATCATCATCACTCATTGTATTTATTGTAGCTCTTCATCTCAAGGGTATATCTATCAAAACTTAAGCCATATAGAAGATAGTTAAGCCCTTTGACAAATAAACTTCTTTCAGGAGTGATGATGTATATGAGTATGCATGTAAATGGATCGGATTCGGATTAGATCTGTCAAGATCTGAATCTGATCTGATTAAGACAAAAAGAATCCGATATGAACTCGTTTATCCCATATCTAATTATAGATCACCCAAATCCGAATCTGATAATTTCGGATATCCAATCTGATCCATTTATTTATTTATTTATTGAGCTACAATTTTATATTATTTTATTTTATTTTATTTTTCAATTTGTGTTTTCTTCATTCAAATTGAGAATAATTGGATCAGATTTTTGCATATCCGATCTGTTGAGTAATTGGATTAAACTTATTTGGATTATTGGATTACTGGGTCACTTTTTTGTAAATGGATTCGGATTTTTGGGTCGGGGTCGGGGTCGGGGTCGGATTAAATCAAACCCATTGTCAGCCCTAATGTATGCTTTATTCAGTACTGGAGATACCTAATGATATAGCAAATGCTGGATGCAAAGTTTCTTCATCTCCCTATTTTAACGCATTGATGTCAAACAAGGTGAAGGATTTAATCAGTTAACAAGTTGTCATAAGAAATACATTTTTTGAGAGGAAAAAAAGGAGCTTTGTGCTCATGAAATCAGACAAACCTTTTTTTTTATGGGCCTTTGATTGTTGAACTCACATGATGTGTTTGATGTTCTTTTCATGATTGACCATATGGTTAAATCTGGAGCAAGCAAGGATTGGCCACAATTAATAAAATTTGGGAAGTGAAAAATAAGGGAAAAGAAGGTTCTATGTGGGTGGATTGTTTTCTTCAGTAGTTAATAAGAGCTGATTCACAAAATAGTGATTAGTTGTGAGCATAGGATTATAAAGTTGTACAAATATGCAGTTTTGATAGGTACTCAATTTTTTAACTCATTTTAAGATTATTCTATTGCATCACTGGGGATCTGATTTTGCCAGTAAGATGAATAGATGATCAACATTAAGATACCAATTCAGATTATGGAACTGTTGTTTAAGTGGATTAACCGTGTTTAGGATTATATGTTTGTTTCACTGGACTAATAATGTATAGGATTCTATGTATAATAACATCACCCATATTTAGTTACTATTGTTTATTATTTCATTGATTGCTGTTGTACAAATACTGTATTGTTGCTGTTGACCTGAGCTAACTGGCGGAAAAAGCCTTTGCTGTTGACGCATTGATAACAATTTGTTGTCATTTTGCTCCTATGCCCTCTTTTGTTGTTAAATGTCCATGATATCTTCATGTCTTTGGTTAATCTACCAAGCCTATTAAAATGCAATATCTTGTACTTTTGCAGGGGAAATATTTATGGGCAAGAATTCGGTGGAATGTATTGTGTCGTTTTAATTGTGAAGTAAGGTTCCCCCCTTTAAAGTTGCTTTGTGCGTTTTATTAATTTTACTTTTTTATTTTATTCCACTGTTTTGTTATTAGTTTTATATTCTAATATTGTTTTTAATCATTTCATGCTTAAATGCATGTGCAGGTCAGTTGTTGTATCTGCTGGCCTTCTGAGGATTTTTGGACGAGAGGTTGCTGAGCTTCCTCTGGTAGCTACAAGTAGAGAACATCAAGGAAAAGTAAGTGTGTTGATGCTGAGCATATAAGTCCTTCGTCTAGCTGTTTGTGTTAGCGAGGTTTTCTTGTCTTTACTTTTTCTTTAGTTTTATAGATATATAATTTTCTTTTTATTTATATATTTGTTCATTAAAGGGTCTGTGCAACTGGAATCATTCCTTGCTTATGTTCCCATCTTTGAGATAGTATATCCCTTAAGCCTCACAAAGTTATTTTGATATCTTTTTATCTTTAGGGTTATTTCCTGGCACTATTTTCGTGTATTGAGAGGCTATTGTATTCGCTGAATGTCGAAAACATCGTGCTTCCTGCTGCTGAGGAAGCTGAATCAATCTGGAAAAATAAGTTAGGCTTCAGAAAGATGAGCGATGAACGGGTAAGGGCACTTCTACAACTTAAATGCGTCAAAGTTAGTTTCTCTTGGCATTCATCTCATACTCATAAAATCTTGGTTCTATGTGAGATTGAAAACCACTGAAAGCAAAATAGAAATGAATTCTGAGCTGCACTGGAAAACATTAATTACTTTCATCAATTCATTGACAATGACAATAAACTTTGGGGCTACGACCATTCATTTCCACTGTATAATTGGCTAAGAGCTGGACAAAGATTTTGTGGTTTCAGATGACGTAGGATAGTTATAAAAGTTATTGATAAATCGCATCCTGTTAATTACCAAGCCTTTTCTTTCTCTCTTCACATTGTTTGGAATTCTTTCCTTGCACTCTGACAACCTTTTGACACAACTGCTTCAACTCTGGAATTAATGATCGATTCTCTACAGTTCTATACATCTCATGAGGAGGTACCTAACATGTAGCATGTTGGTTAATAACGGAAACTCCATAGAGTGAAATTTTTCGGAACTTTTTAAAGATTGTGGCATAGAACCAGAGAGAGACAATCCTAAAAACTTGTGGAAACCTTCTCAAAACAATTGTACTCAACAAAGAAAATCAAATCTTATCACTAAAGCCATTAAAAATTGTTAAAAAATAGAAGAAAATACAACAACATTAAATCAAAGGTTGTTCCATGATTTCAAATTGATTTAGTGTAGTCTTCATAATAATTTTGTTAAACATGTGGTGGCCAAATATAGCATGCTACCTGAGAAGATACGCGGGAGATAAAGAAAAAAAGAGAAACCCAGGGAGAAAGACAGGAGAAAAATTTGCAGGGAAGGATATGGGCGAGTGTAATGAGAATGGGCCTGAAGTTCATATAACTGTTGGGACATGATTTTGTTGAGCTTTAAAATGGCTAGAGATGAAAGAACTAGCAGCATCTCATAGTTGATTTTCAGCATAGTGTTTATTTATAAAAATGAAAATGATATTTTCCATTCTTTATATTTTTTTACCTTAATCCTTTGATTGCTTGTCTGGAAAAGGGCCTGTTACAGAAATGATTACTTTGTAGGCCCAATTGAGTATCGACTTTATTACTGCTTCTTTGTGTCCCATATTTACATTGGCAGCCAACCAGTGAATAAGTACTAACAATTATAAATATGTTGTCCGGAGCAGTTTTTGGATTATACAAGGCGCTTCCAGCTGACGATTTTTAAGGGGACGTCAATGTTAGAGAAGGAGGTGCAGCAGACAGTAGATTAGCGACGACCCATGTTTCCTAAATATAATTCAGTTAGAAATGCAGGAATTTTTTTTTTTCCTTCATGTAATATTGCTGTTATTTTCTTTGGTCTGCAGCCAGCAATCTGATTGAGGGTTTCTTTTTGTTCATGTAAAAACTAAAAAGGGGAGGGAAAAGGTATATGTCACAAGCAACGGCGCATGCTCTGACATTTTAATATGCATGCATGAGGCGCAGTTTTTTTTTTTTGTCTTTCTTTCTTTTTTTTAAATCTTTTGTTTCTGCGTTTTGTTGTTATAGCTTTCTTTGTGTAAACAGAAATATTTTCGAATGAAAAAAAAAAAATTAGTATCTTTAGTGAAGGACGATATTTAGCATTTCTTTTATGCGTATGTCTACGTGTCTAGAATGAATGCTTTGCTAGGCTTTGGAAGTTGTTATGCCAAACATTGGCGGCTTCATTCAGGTGACCGCAATTTCATTTCCTAATATTATTGTTTGGTTTGAGTTTGGTGGTGGTTCTGTGTTGCTCTTGATAGTAGTATTCTGTTGTTTGCTTTAAGTTTGGATACTGTTTGTGGTTTGCTCTTAACTTGTCATTTTTGTGTGCCTTGAGTAGGAGGGTTATCAGGACTCAGACAATTTGAAACAAGGCCTTTTATATATATAATCACAATTTGATTTGATTTGATTTTTTGGCAAGTACTTAAACAGGTTATTATTTTTTTATTTGCTAATTCTCACATATATTTTGTTTGCATGTTTAATTGCTAAAGTTATATACTAATAAATTTACTTATAGATCATGAGGAATTTTTAACAGATTCAATTTACAAGAAGAAACAACACCACCCAGTAAAATAAATAAATCAAATCAAATCAAATCAAAAGTTATAATATCAAGTAAAAACGGAATCAATTATAGTAAAGTATTAGTTAAACATTAATTGGATGTTACCATGGAGTATGCAACGCTAATTGTGAGCATGGTTAATTTCGACATGGATTGCATTCGGATTTAAGATTTTATAAAATTTTGAATGGGTTATAATTTTGACTAGAAAATCATATAAAATCACATTACAATTCCTATTCTACAATTTATTTATTTTTAACTTCTTCTTTTTATATATGTATGGGTAAATATATCAAAAATTTGACTTCAAACTCTCAACACAAGGGAAAAAGTTTATTTGAAAATTTGAGAACAATCTAAAAGCCTTTCATATTTATAGAAGAAGATGTTTTCAAATTATTTGAATTAAGATAATTGGAGAGGAAGTTGAAAAATTTAGTTTCTCAATAAAATTAAAATTATTGAATTCAATTTAAAAGCGGAAGAATGGGAAAATTAATTTCATTCTTAAATCAACAATTTATGTTGCTAAGAAAAATATTAATAATATGAAATTTATCATTTGCTTTTATAAGTTTAATGATTGTTAAATGTATATCATTACCAGTATAAGATATATTAACCCATGTATTGTTTTTATATTTCATTTCTAGTAATCATATAGTGTTACCATTATGCTAAATTTTACTAGTTAAAAAAAGAGGAATTCTACTGCCCGATTAAGTGATACTTTTGTGTAACATATATATATATATATATATATATGAAAATTATCAATAACAATGATATCAAATATAATTACTTATTTCAAGATAATTTTATAATTACTATATATGTATATACACATGCTGAAATTGATTATAACTACATAATAATTTGTTATTTAAGTTTCATTTATTTCAATGTAAAGTATTTTTAAAATTTTTATTATTTAGTTAAAAAAATATAAGTAAAACATTTTTCGCCATAGTTTTTAAAATGATTTACTATTATAATTTGAAAAATTATATTTTTACATAAAATTCATACAAAAAACTTGACAAAAATGATGTGGCAATATCATTATTATAAATAAATTTATTTTTAATGATGTTTTGTTTGAAGTAAAAAGTCCACAATAAGTCATAGCATTATGTTGAATTTTTTATTTGTATAGTATTACTCTCATAATTTTCGTAAGTTAATTTTTAAGAAGTTCAATTTCAGTTTGACTCTTTAAGCACACTAATCTTTCCTAGGGTTGAGTAAGGAAATTGAAAAAATCTACAAATTGAACCAGTTGACCAATTCGGTAGGTTTGGTTTGGTTATTTTTAATTTGTGATTCAGTCTTGATTTGAAAAATTGGAGAACCAATCTCCGCGGATTGGTTTTGGACTTAGGTCCAGCATTTCAAATTTGAACTGAACTAAACCGTATAACTTAAATCATATATGTTTATTTGTTAAATATTATGTTTGTTAAGTTAATGGTAGAATAATATACATGCTTTTATGTTTTGAAAGTTTATGTTTTGAAAAATCATGATAGATTAATATTGAACAATATTTGTTTAATATTATTTTTTTGCGTAACTAGTGAATATTATGAAAGTAGTTTATTTGATGGATACATTTTTATTATTTTTAAAATTTATGATAAGTTGACTTCTTTTTTTGTGTTTTGAAAATGCTATATATTTATTTATTTATTTTTTTTTTTTTTGTGAAGTGAAACCGTGGTTCCAAACTGAATTAAACCGTATTTAAATAGGTTGGTTCGGATTAATTTCATGATTTTAATGGTTTGATTTGATTCTAATTTTTATGAAATTGGTTCTCATTTTCTAATTTCATTCCAAACTGATCTAAACCGGACCATGCTCATACTCTCCCGTAATCTTTTCATAGGTGAAATGGTAATTTTGTATTTACTTATGCACAATGCATATAATAAAATAAAATAAAAAAATTTTATTTCAACTATCAATTGAATATCAAAAATTTTAAGGAAAAATTAGTAAAACATCTTCCTCTAACTTTATGTAATAGGAGAGGTCTAAAATATTTTTTTTATTAACTAGAGTTCGTCAACATTTTCATAGAAAAAATTCGACTTGAAAAAATTTTGTCCAACTTAGAGAAATTTCACTCAACTCAGAGAAATTTCGGCCCCTATGAAAATCAAAATTTTTCTAAGTCAGGACAATTTTTCCGAGTCAGACAAAATTTCTTTGAATCGAATTTTCCTGTAGATATGTTGAAGGATCTTAACTATTATAAAAATATTGTATATCATTTATCTTATAAAATCTTAATATTAAGGATCTTAAAAAAAATCCCAAATTTTAATTTAATTTTGGGAAAATTATATAAAATATTTTAAATCAAAACAAATAAAGCCTTATCGAAGGGGCTTTTCCCATATTAAGCCAATTTATCATCTTAATTCCCAAACTAGGCCTAGTTTGGACGGAATTCCCAAACTAGGCTAAAGCGCTATTACAAATCACGCTTTCACTGTTTGGGGCCGAAAATTTGATGAACAGTGAAAGCGCTATTAGAAACCACGCTTTAATTAAAAAAAAATTCTGAAGAAAACGTGATTCCAAACTACGCTTTCACTGTGCATGTCGTGTAATTTGTTTTCTGAAGAACCACGCTTTCACTGTGCATATTCATTTTCTGAAGAAAACGTGATTCACAATCACGCTTTCACTGTTCACTAAAAGAAGCGTGGATTGAAACCACACTTTCACTGTTCACTACAACAAGCGTAGATTGAAACCACGCTTTCAGTGTTCATTTAAATTTTTTTTATTATTTTTTTTTTGTTAATTTTTAAAATTTTTTTTTTTCCCCTATTGTCATTGTTTTGGTGATAATGTAATTCATTAATTTTTTTTTTCTTGTCTTTGTTTTGGATTAGAAGGTGATAATGTGATTCATAAATTTTTTTTAGCTTTACTAAAAGCGTTTTCATGTTAAATTTTAATTTTTTTCTTTTGTCTTTGTTTTGGGTTAGAAGGTGTTATTCAGAAATTTATTTTGGCTTTACTAAAGCCGTTTTCATTTAAATATATATATTTTTTATTTTGTCTTTGTTTTGGGTTAGAAGATGATAATGTAATTCAGAAAATCGGTTTAGTAAAACCGTTTTCTAGCCGTTTTCATTAAAAAAAAATAAATTTCCTTTTGTTAATGAATAATGGTTACATTATTGGGTTCTCACGATTGAGAAGATGAACAAGTTAAGAAAATGTGTATTTCTCCTAAAATAAATTTTGTCAACATTTTTGTAATAAAACTTAATACATAATATACGAAGTCACTAATTTACTAAATACTCATACAGGCATGAAAACAACATAACTGAAGTTGCAAATGTAACAGTTTTCAGTTACATAGGTAGTACAGACATAAGTCTCCCACAAAAATACATTATGAACACCATGAACTGAACACACAATACATACATCCTAGACACTCTGAACTGAACACACAATACATAAACATAATACTTCGACAGACAAATATTAGGTAGACAATCTGACAAACTCATTACGGAAACACTTAGTCTAACACAGACATTACATATTAATATATGATCTAATATTGCTGAAGTGTAGACATTAACACCTAATTCGCGCTTAAATCGGCAGGTTGCTCAGAGTCTGAATTATCCGAAAGCTCAGCGTCAGAGACAAGTTCAGGATCCTCCATGATACCCTTGATAGCCGCAACATTTGGTTCTGTTCTGTTCTTCTGGGCATCCTTCTTAACTATGTATACTTGCATATCGCGGGCTAACTTACGGCGCATTTGAGAAATCTCACGTTGTAGTCTTTCACATAGTCGATCAACATTATCAGGATCTTCCTTTTGGATCTCAACAGAACATGCTTTTGGCACCCTCAGTCGATTTTCCCGACATAATCTTTCCATTTGCACTCGCTCTATAAATAGTGCGGGCCACTTCAGAAGTCTAGCATCTACTAAACCATATCTTGTTTGATTATCTAATGGATCCATACATGAACCTCCTTGAACTAGATAATACTTGGACATCAAAAAATGTCGCTTCCCAAACCTATCACGATAACCACGAAGCATAATCTAAAACAGGTATTCCTACTCCCTTCCATGAATCACCTTCAGCATCGTCACGTCCCCTTCCCCCTCCTCGTCGTGAACTGTCACCCCTTTGCAAGTTTCTACCACCTCTGCGATTCCCACTCTCTCCCATGAATCGTGTAGCCATGCTAATTTTTTAAAACAAATGAATGATAATTTCGTAGGGCGAAATGAGTTGTAAGATTGTGTCTTCACCTTTAGTCGTTTATATAGTTGGTTATGAACGGCTTTAGAAAGATGCCTCTGCATGACAATCCCACATATACGAACAAGGTATGAGTTGTCACTAGAATGAAAAAATAGAGAAAAGTAAAAACTGTGTACCAAGTCACGTGACTTGATAATCTATCTGCATATACCGACAAAATAAGGGCATGCTCATTGTAAGGTAAGTCAATGAATT